CCCCAAAACCCCAAAACCCCATGTATATGATAAGCCAAGAATCAATTAACAATGATAAATCTAAAATTATTATAGCTAATTCGTGTTCAATGTTAATTAAGGGAAATTGATATACAGAGTAATTTATAAATAATTATTTATTTGGAAGATGATAGGGAGCACCAGCAATTAGACAGAGCTTTTAGAATTATAGTTTAGAGAAGTAATCATTACGACCTAAGATAAAAAGATTATTCTTTCTCTTAATAATCTAACTGGACAAATGGAAAACAAAATTACAATAGACAAAAACTTTATTTCAATATTCCACAGAGAGTTAGAAAATAAAATACAAATAGATGTGAGAAATTGCTTGCTACTTTAGAATAATGATTAAGATAACAATTAGAATTATACTCAAGCTATCTAATATCAAACAAATAAAAATCCAAATTCAGCAATCCATAATGCAGTAATAATGCTTTAATCAAATTGAGATTTTTTGGATTTCTAGCTATTTATTGAAAAAAGAATTAATATAATATTTCTAACCTTTGAAAGCTAATATAAAAAATTATAGGACTTATACACTGGAGATTATTCTTAAGTTGCTCTGTTTAAGCCATTGCAGACATAATCGAAAGAGAAGCTATTTGCAGTGAAGTCATTTTAGATTAGTAATAGTGTTGAAAAAGAATAGATTTACAAAGAGATTCAATTTTTAAGAGATCTAATCAATAAGCCACATGTCCTATAACTTTTAAAAGTTTATGAGACTTAAAAGCAAATACATATGATATTTGACTATTTTTAAGATGGGACTTTTATTAAGTACCTAGAGGAGAATAGCCGTATAATAGGTGAATAAGAAGCTAAAAATATAGCTTACCAATTAATTTCTGGCCTATCTTAGATTCACTACTTAAAAAATAATACATAGAGACATAAAAAATGCAAATATATTGGTAGAGAAAAATCCAAAGAAGGTGCAAATTATAGATTTCGGACTATCAGCTTACTCTAATGATTAAGAATGATTGAAGGAAAAATGTGGAACTCCAGGATTCATGGCCCCAGAAACATTATTGTTCAATTAAGCAAGCTTCAAAAGTGATATATTCAGTTTAGGATCTGTAATATATAGTATAGTAACAGGCACAGCTTTAGACTAGTGAAATTAATTTAATGATGTTCTACCCAAGAACAAATATTAAAGTCTTGATTAAAAGCTAGATCATTTGAAATATAACAAAAGTTTTCAATGCTATATATAGTTTATTGTCTAAAAGTCAAAGAAAAGATCCGAATCAAAGAATTAGCCTCGTTGAATGCTTAAATGTAAATTATTATTTTATTTTTGAGATTTTTTAGCATCCTTGGTTTAGAGAATTTAATCCATAAATGGTGCACTAAAATAAAAATTAATTCTCATTAAATCAAGAGAATTTCCAAAATTATTCGCCATTACTATAATTGAAGAGACCGAAATTGAACATCAATGGATTGCAGCAATCGGAATTAAGAAAGTTTAATTAAATTGATTCTGATTTTAATGAGGGGACTTGCGATGTAAGTAAATTACAAAGATTTTCTTTGAGAAAATGTCAAAGAAGCATCAATTCAGTTGAATAAATTAATTTTGGAGATGTACTCTAAAATTTAATAAATTAGAGTTCTCAAAAAATCATAGAGGAAGATGACGAGAACATTGAGAGAAATATGGAGGTATTATATACTGAAGATTTTTAATAAAGTATGGAGGAGAATGAATGTGATGAAGATGCTTTTATTTAATTCTAAGTTGATCATAGAAAATTTGATTAATTAAGAATTGCAAAGAGCAAATGGATTTTGGAAAAGACAAATTTTAATTAAAAGATTGACTGAAGCTTTTGAATTATGAGACTTCTAATTGAATGATTTTTTTCTCAAAATCAATGAATTTTCCACATGAAAGTAAAGTATTTCAAATAAATGAGTAATCTATAATAATGATATAATTAAGCTTTATTTCTTAAAATCTAGCGAGTTAACTAGACTATATTAAATATTCCACTCGCAAAAAAGTATATGAATAAATTAAATCAAATTCTATTTCTCAAAAATTATCTTTTAAACTTTACTGGGGGGTTTTGGGGTTTTGGGGATTACTATTTTGGTC